TGATGCTACATATATTTCCTTCTCATTGCTGCAAGGAGCTGAAATTAGTACTGTGACTAATTAGGAGGACTGGGAAAAAGCAGATGAGGGGATTAAAGCAAAACAAAATCAATGCTAGGAAATAGAAATGACAGGAGCTGTCGGCTGGGGAAAGGGGTGGGATGAAGGGGAGGATGATGAAGAGAAGTGCTGATGGGTTCACTCCTGAAGCAGATAGGGAAGAAAGGCAATTTGGTGTTGACACCTGTGTTAGAAACCCTTTTTCTTAATTGCATGGCTTTCTCTTTGGCTCGTTGTCTCTTAACACTCTTTTCTCAGTGAAGTCTCCCAGTGTGGTGTGGTCCTGCTGGCTGGGTCTGGGCAGGAAGGCAGTGGTGGACTTGGGAGAGGACAAGGGATGACACTAGAAAGTGCTGTGGGGCACCTTTCCTTCCACCAAATGCTCAGGCACCCCAGCACAGAGCCACTCCAGGCCAGGCTACATGAGGTTTCTAAAGCATGGAGTAGAGGATAGAAAGAGAGACACTCAGCTCAGTGGTTTGAGAGCCAAAAGAGTTTTAATTTTAGCTTTGTCAGTTGCTTTCTTCCTCCCCAGGTGGGCCATTTGCCTCTGTGGATTCAGTTTCTTCTCTGGGAAATGGTCATAATGGTACTTGCCTTCTCCACAGCTGAACTGGGAGGGCTAATTAACACTTGGATGGTGATCTGAGGATGAGGAGGGTTGCATGCAGCTGAACCATGGACACCTGGCTGGAACTGCACCCAAACCTTTATTTAAAGACAGCAACAACCCTTGACATTCTGCCTTGAAAACTGTCCTCAGCTCTGCTCCTGTCTCTGACCTTTCCCTCCCTGTCTCTCCTTTTGTAGCCCTGCTCCTGGACATCATGATTGTGGCTGGTTTGCAGAAGTTGGCCAAGAGGAAGGGCCCATACGACGTCAACCCTGGCTTGTTGGACTACCTGACCATGGACACCTACGCCTTTCCAGCCGGGCACGCCAGCCGAGCAGCCATGCTCTCCAAGTTCTTCCTCAACCACCTGGTCTTGGCCATCCCTCTCCGGATCCTGCTGGTCCTCTGGGCCCTCTGTGTGGGCTTTTCCCGTGTCATGATCGGACGGCACCACGTCACAGATGTCCTGTCTGGCTTTGTCTTTGGCTACTTACAGTTCAGGCTGGTGGAGTTGATATGGATGTCTTCTAACACGTGTCAGATGCTGATATCCATCTGGTGAACATGAGGGACGTGAGGCCTTCCCACTGGAAACTAGCAGATACTTCAAGAGTCTCCCTCCCAGTCTTTTCTACATGTTTGTTGGAAGCAGCTGTAACTTCCAGGAGTAGTTGCCATTTTTTTAAATGTTGCTTCCCCACCTGAAATTGAGGTGTTAGCAATTGAGGGCCATACCTGTGTCGTGGCCATATTCTCAAGACTGTGTTTGGACAGCCACCTAATGAAGCTTTATGGTGAGAGGAAGGAGCTCTATGTCTGCCGAGGTTGGGTGGTTCACATCAGCACCTCGCTGTGTCCTCAGGATGGGCAGCACCTGGGAGCTTCCCCAGAGCACCTTTGGTCACTTTTTTTTTTTTTTTTTGTGGCTAAATGATTCTGGCCACAGTGCTTTTTCTTTTTGTAAGCCCAGCAGTTGTGTCTTGTCCAGGGTCACGGCACTGCCGGCGCTTCCGAGACAATAAATGATCACAAAACTCCTGCCCTGTTTGGTTCTTCTCATGAGGGAAGGGGCAAAAGCCAGTTCAGTGTTGGCTTTGAGATGTGTTCAACTTGGAGCAGGTCTTGCTGATGAGGGTGGGCACTGAAGTGGTTTGCTTTGGGTCAGTTGGGCCCCAGTGGGTGCTCAGGATGCTGAAGGTGACGTGCCAGAGCTGGCCTTTCATCTGCAGCTCAAAAATCTGATCTGTGAGGGTCCAGGGGGGGTTTTGGTCTGGGAAGGACAAACACAAGCTGCCAGTTTCCATCCTAGGAGGGAGTGATTCAATAGGCAACATGCTGGATTGTGGTGACTTTGCTAAGCAGGTCTAGATACAAAGAGTCTTTTTCCCATCTCGCCATGGCCGTGATTTTATATTTCTGCCAAAGGATGCTCAGGTGGGAGTTTCCAAGGTGAGTCCCTTACAGCACTGACTGCTTCCTGGTGCCCCAGCACTGCTGGGGAGCTGGAGGACAGGAGGCAGCCCTGCCTGCACCCCTGCCTCTGCCCAACCTGCAGCCTCCTCACAGAGGGAAATGCTGTCTCTGTGTCTCACCTCATGTGAAACGAGGAGGGTGCTTCTGACCTTCCTTGCTTGCACAGCTGAGTTAATTGATGCCTGTGAACCAGTCTGAGATTTCCAAATACAGAGCGTGGTGCCCAGAGGTGATGTCATTACCTTCCCTTACTGATGAGTGTCCACCTTGAAACCTGTCTGATCTTTGCCCAGGTGCTGCCATGCTCAGTGCAGTGTCTCTGAAACCAACCACCCCTCACAACTAAGGCAATCCCATATTTTGCACAGAACCTTCCAGTTCTCTGTGGTTTCTCTGTCTTTAGAAGCGAGTTTGTTATTTGGCAGGTGATGGACATTACCAGACTCAGCACCTTCCCTGGTTGGATGCATCCTGCAGAATGAAGGTATCCCAGCATTTCTGTCCTCCTGCCCAGCCCAAGTGAGCAAAATGCACCTGCCTTGCAAAGCCATGGAGCAACCAGCCAGGTCTTGTGCTCTCATCTCTCCCTGCACACTGGGCAGCCTTTTCCTACAGGGGCTGCTGGTGAGAAGGAGAAGACTCTCCGCTAATGACTGTTGCAAGCTGCTAACGTTTGTTGCTCTTTGATAATGAATATGAAAAGAAGCTAAACAGAAAAAATCTATCCCTGGCACTCGTCTCCAGCTGGGATGTCAGTGCAGAGCCCTGGGAGCTGCTGACTTCCCATGCTCCAACTCCAGGCTGGAGCAGAAGCGCGTGGTGAGGAGACCAGCATGTCCTTTAAAGAGGAGCCTCCCGCAGGGTTCCTGGGGATGAGCTGTGGGAGGGTCCCTTGGGAAGGGCTGTCACGGAGTGTGTTCAGGAAAGGGGAAAGCTCAGGGTCTTCCTGGTTGTCGCCCAGGCTGGTGCAGCAGCAGGGGGTGGTGGGGTTAAGCAGGGAGCAGTGTTGTGGGTGGAAGCAGAGACGTGCTGCTGGGCCTGGCCTCCAGCAGGGTTTTTCTTTGCCAACCTCCTTCTCCTATAAAGACTTTTCTGAAGAAGTAAGATGTGGTGCTTCTTCTTTCTTTCTTCCAGGCATTTTACACTTGGCAGAGCCTTTCCTCACCCCTGGGAAGGATGGAGGCACGTTGCTGCAGCTCTGATGGCCTGTGTGCACCTGTGTGGCTGCAGATGGTGGGTACCTGAGGAGGCAGGGAGAAGGAGAGGACTTTGCCCTGACTGCTTGGTGCAAGACCCTCACTTTGTAGCTTTAGGTTTTAATGAACCTTTGCAAATAGGCTGGATGCATCAACAGCCATGTCCCTGGGTTCAGGTCTCCTTGCACTTGTGTTGTCTTCTCCTGGCATATCCAGGATGGTGTTGGAGGAGTTAAGTCTTGGTCTGTGCTGCTGTAGTCAGGAGAAGCTGCCATGGTGGGTAACATCAGCTGAGCCAGTCTCATCCCAGCACAAAAGCAAGGCAGGAGGGCAGGGAGAGGTGAGTTAGGGTGACTCACCAGGGGAAGCTGGGATTCCCAGGACAGGGCTGGTTCCCACAGAAGGTTTCTCCTGGGAGCCTCTCCCCTCAGCAGCCCTCAGCCAGTTCCCCTTCGCTCCCCCAGTACTTCAGTGCCTGGAACTGGGGTGCTTGATGCAGGGAGGGCTTGGGGAGAGCCCCACAAGGTGAGCACAACTCTGGGTGCAGAGGCACCGGGAAAGACCTGGCAGAGCTTTGCTTTGGCTGTGCCCACCCTCCCAGCACACAGCATCCCTCTCCCAGCTGCCTGCCAGTGCCGAGCGTACCGCTCACGATTACCCAGCATCACTGCCATGAAAACCAGCTTCTGTCTCTATAGCAACAGTGAGGGATGGAGGTGCCAGCCTGTGTCCTGAGTCCCTACCCATCCCTGGCACCCAACGAACAGAACAGGCTGTGGCTGGGTTAACTGTTATCCCCCATGGGAAGGCAGGAGACCCCCAGCCCTGCTGCCCTGGGGATGCAGCCACGTGGGCTGGGGGCACATGGAAAGTGGTGACAGGATGACCTGGCTCTTCCACTGACAAGGTGCAACCTGCAGGGACTGTTCTCAGCTTTCAGTCTGAGTAACACCATCCCATCCATCCTGCTGCAGGCTGTGCTGGGGCACCAGGAGGGATTCATCCCCCTGCTCTGCACTCACTGACATCCAGGGCCGCATCCTGAGTGTTCTGGCTCAGAGGCAGGGAGGCCACAGCAGCACAAGGGAAAGGACAATCTCCCTGGGCTTTGGGCTTTTGATCTGTGCAGATGCCATCTGCCTTCCAGGCCTCACTCCTGCTTGCAAAGAGGTGTGTGGGTGCAGTGTGCTTGTCCCTAAAGCCCTGCAGCCTGAGGAGGGTTTTCTCCCTCCTCTGAGGTGTTGGAGGGACAGGGCTGGGTCTCAGCCCTGGCAGTGGTGCAGACCCATGGGTTCCTGTGTGATGTGCTGGAGGCATCACCCAGGTGTTCTCTCCACTGGCCTCACATCTAGGGGTGGCTATAAGAAACAGCAGTGGGTCTTGCAGGTGCATGTGTGCAGTAAGCCAGCAGCTGAGGCAAATCATTTCTGTGTTCCTTTCTCCACTCCCCTGGAGCTTGTACTGATGCTCACACAGATGTTTGGCCCCAACTATCCTGGGTGAGCCCGGGCAGGATGCTGGGGCTGCTCTGTGCAAATGTCCACCATGGACATGTGGCTGTGAGGAGGCAAAAAGCCAAATGGTTTGAGGTCCTTCAGGATTGCCCAGGAAAGTGAGTGTTTTCCTTGAACCTTTGGACCCCTAAACTGAGCCACAGAGGTCTTAGCACAAAGCTCAGGAAAGAGTGCTCCTTCCCCAGCCAGGACACCTCTCCATCCCCATGACTAGGGCATCTTCTGCCTTTCTTTTTATCTATAAGATGAATTTTAAAAAGGTCCCAGAGTGCAGCAAGTGCCACACATGGGTTTGGGGGCTGCTGCCTCCAGTACTGAGTGTGTCTTGCAGGCAGGAGAATCTCAGGCTGCAGTGACAGTGATTTCATTTGTGATTCTGCTGCTTACAGTGAGAGGTCCCTCCTCCCCTGCCCTAATGCTGATTGCAAAAAGAGATTTTAATTTATTAAAAAAAAAAAAAAAGGGTGCCAGGGCAACAAGCAAATCTGGATTATATCTTTGGGCATATGTGGGAATCACAGCTGGAGTGTTTATTCCCCCTCTTCCCAGCCTTAGCTGGTGTTTTATTCCAACAAGCTGTTTTGTGCATTTGTAGCTGGGGCTGTGCTGAAATGCACGTGGAAAAAATCACTTCCCACATCAGGTTTGTGCTGCTGTCCCTGCTGTGGGGCTGCCAGGGGCATCCTCTCTGCTGTCTCCCAGAAAGGGGTGACTTGGGCCCCCATGTTCCCCCAGGATGAGGCAGGAGAGAAGCACAGGAGCTGGCTGGCACCCAGAGAAATCTGCAGGTCAGCAGATTTGGGGACTCAGGGGGAATTAGGAAGGCAGTTTCCCTGTGGTAGCCCAGGTGTGGCTCTACTTCACCTAGAGCTGGGTTTTCTTGGACAAACACACCCCTTTTCTTCACTCTGGGGAGTTTCCAATGGGGGTGAAGGGACCCACTGGCTTAACTGGCTCCCAGCAGCTCGGTGCAGCTGGGACAGCCCCAGCCCTGCTCCCTGCAGCACCAAGTCATACCCAGCAGCCACAAACTCCTTTCTGAGGCTCAAAGGTTTCTCCTCAGTTGGGAAGAATCATCTGTGTGATTTTTCAGTGAAGTTTTTGTATGAAAGTGATAATTAACCATGTCTTTTCCAGGTTATAAGTTTAATATATTGGGCAAAGCTGAAAGAAGTGGGAAGGTTCCTCCCTGTCACAGGCATGCACTGCAGAGGGTGCTGTCAGAGCAGGTGATGATGCAGATGGAAGATGCTTGAGCTCAGCTGATGCCACTTCCATGTGTTTGGCCATCCTAAATGAAGATGTGGCTGGTTCTTGCCTCAGCATGGTGGGATGCAGTCCTGGACTTGGACAGGTGGGAGCAGATCACCAAAGAGATGTTTGTCTTTAGTGTTGATCCAAAAGTCCTTGGCTGATGAGCCTATGTCTGAATACAG